ACTGCATACCTCTCTCTCACTGCTCATGAGTGCGCCCTCCTGCCCCATAGTCCTCTCTCACTGCTCCACGGTCCTTCCTCACTGCTCACGGTCCTTCCTCACTGCCCATGGTCCTCTCTCACTGCTCATGGTCCTTCCTCACTGCTCACGGTCCTTCCTCACTGCTCATGGTCGTTCCTCACTGCCCATGGTCCTCCCTTAATCCCCCATAAATTCTCTCCCACCTTTCCGCCATCTCTCTTCTTTGCTCTCTCTCTCTTCCCACTTCTCTCTTTCTTCCTCCCACCCTCTCTTCCTCATCTTTCCTTCCCCCCCCCATAGCTCTCTCCCTTCCTTCTCCCTCCCCCAAAATATCATTACCGTCATTTGTGCCGCCTTTGTCCCTCATAACAGCATTACCCCCATCGACGTTGACAAGTCAGTTGGTGACCTTTGACAAGAGAAGAGCTTGCTCAGGTCTTCTCATTTGATGACCAGAGTCTTTACTATGAATACCTTCTTCCCCTTCGTCAGGATATGTGAGTGGGTGGTTATCCATCTCCCCAACCACGTACCCAGAAGGCCACCAACTGCTCGTAATCAAGTAGACCTTCTTCAGGATATGTGTGTGTGGGTGTTTATCCATCTCTCCCTCCGTAAACAAGTACACCTTCTTCCCCTTCGTCAGGATATGTGAGTGGGTGTTCATCCATCTCCCCGACATGTACCCCGAAGGCCACCAAAAACTCGTTAAAAAGTGCTAAAATTTAACGAATATCCAGACAGTAAGAGGATGAGAGAACCATTTTATCTCTGTTGCAGGTAGTCATGTGATACCTGCACAACCCACCTGGGCAACACACCTGTACAACGCACCTGTACAACACACCTGGATAACTCACCTGGGCAATAAACCTATAAAACACACCTGTAGATCTAAATACCTACCTTAAATAACAACATACATTAACAACACATCAAAACAAATATCATAAAACAACGTAAGTTATTAATACCAAATATACTCGCATACATATTGCCATTTTAACAATAATATATAACATGGTAAGTGGGTAAGACTATTGTATACTGTATATTGCCAAAACCAATACGAACTCTCCAGCAGGGATCGTAAATAGGTGAGGTATGGCAGCGTCTTTTACGATAGTGACCACAGGCTGGGTGGAATCTCCCTGTGTGTGTCTCTCGAGCTCCACACTGGACGAAAAATCACATGTGAAATGCCTCCGTCGGAAGAAAAACAAAAGAGAAGCGATTCATAGATATAAGACACAGGAGTAAATGCCTCCATTGCAATTAAAACAAAAACAAATGAAAAACGACTAACATATACGACTTTGGAATACATGCTTTTCAATGTTGGTCACAGGCCCTATAGAAAAAAAATTATATATATATATATATATATATATATATATATATATATATATATATATATATATATATATATATATATATACACATATAAAATGCCTCGGGTTATCTAACTCTTAATCCTCCCAGCATATTTCACATGATGATTAAACACCCTAACACATACCAAATCTAACATAACAAAATAATCTAGCTAAACTTAACCTAACTTAACGCTAATCAAATCTAACCTAACATTAAATTATCAAAACAAACCTAACCTAACTTAACCTAACCGAACTCCCAATCTAATCTACCCAAAAAACTAACCAAACCTAACCCCTAACCAATCTAACCAACCTAACCTAACCTAACTTAACTACTAACCTAACCTAACCCCAAACTAACCTAACCTAACCTACCTAAATCCTAAATTAACCTAAACTAATCCCTAGGTACACAAATTCATGACTTATTTAGAAACAGGTAAATGCACGACAGGTAAGACTCCCCTAATCAAGCCGTCCGGCCAATACAACACTGGACGGGTTAAACTGGTGGCTGTGTGGCAGAGAGCTTTTATGAGAGGGGGAGGAGGGAGGGGAGGGGAGGAGAGGGGGATGTAAACCAGGATATTTGTTTTTTTTTCCTTTTGCAGCTCTACCAGACTATTGCTATTTACCTGTGTGTGTGTGTGTGTGTGTGTGTGTGTGTGTGTGTGTGTGTGTGTGTGTGTGTGTGTGTGTGTGTGTGTGTGTGTGTGTGTGTGTGTGTGTGTTTGATAGAGAGAAAGAGACAGAGAGTACAACATGAACCTTAGTGCCAGTACAACACCAGGCACCATTAAACACCTGAACGCAATCAATACAATAAGTCTAGACAGGTAAACAAGACCATTACAGTACCAGACACCAGACACACATCAACTCAAACTGGTATTAATCCTGACTTCACAATGGCACTCAGCACAGCACAACGTCATCATCTCCAGTGAAATTTGTTAGAGCATACATCAACCCACACAGCAATATATTACTTCACCTGGGCTTAACTCGTCGTGTTGGCTATCGTGTGTGATGAAGTGAATCCGAAAACATAAATATCTAAACGCTATTGAATTACGTTTGACGGAATATTCATCAGAACTGGGGAAGGAGGAAGGGGGAGGAAGGAGAATTGAAGGGGAGGAGAAAGGGGAAGGGGGAGGGAGGTGAGTCAGAAATGATGAGCCTGTCAATCCTTTTAAGACGAACAGGTGAATAATTGTCATCAAAGGGTTAAAGCATTGGTCCTATCGTCATCAAAGAGTTAAAACAGCGTCTTCAAACAATTAAATCATAGACTTCAAAGGGTTAAACCTTTAATATGGTATAAATAATTACGGCAATCAACACGAAGCTGTGACTGAACCTAACCAGAATTCCATCATCTGTTGTATTATTATCGAGTTATCTTAAGAATCACCACAACATCACTTTACAACATTTAACCACAACCTAACAGCCGATACAACATCTCTCATAACATCAACTTATCTTAGAGCCACCACAACACTCCTTAACAACATCTAACAACCAATTCAACATCTAACAATATAAAGTTATCCTAGAGCCACTACAACATGTGGTATACTTCGAATTTAGGAAAGCCTTCGACAGAGTCCCCCACGAAACACTAATATTTACCGTGGAGGCTCATGGCATTGAAGGAGACATTCTAAATGGATTAGGGCGTGGTTACAGGACAGGAAACAGCGAGTGAGCATTAACGGCACTAGTGGAGTACCCCAAGGCTTGGTACTTGGTCCATTACCATTTATTATATACATAAACGACATAGATATAGGCATAGACAGCAACATAAGTAAATTTGCTGATGACGCTAAAATAGGGCGTGTAATTAAATCTGACGAGGACCCCGCAAAACTACAAGAAGATCTAAAAAAAAATTTCAAATGGTCTGAAAAATGGCAGATGAAATTTAATGTGGACAATTGTAAAGTACAGTACTTAGTCTTGAAGATGAACAACAGTAATATAGAGAAATCCGACTGTGAGAAACATTTAGGTGTTATGATAAGTAGGAATCTTAAACAAAGACAACAATGCGTATTTGCTCGAAACAAGCCTAACAAAGTACTTGGGAGGTTATCCTAACATTATAGCTTGAGCTTGTGGGACCTCACTTGGATTACGCAGTTCAGTTCTGGTCACCGTACTACAGAATGGATATCGAATCCCTAGATAGCACACAGAGGAGGATGACAAGACTAATCCCGAGCATTAGGAACCTTGAGTACAGAGACAGGTTAAAGCATCTTAATTTGCACTCCCTTGAGAGACGTAGAGTGAGGGGCGACCTGATAGAGGTGTATAAATGGAAGTCAGGGCTAAACAAAGGTGATATAACAAGGGTTCTCAAACTATCCAACCAGGAGTGAACTCGTAACACTGATTTTAAACTCGACAAATTTAGATTTAGGCGCGAAATAGATAAACATTGGTTTGAAAATAGAGTAGTGGATGAATGGAACAAATTACCAAACATCATCATTAACTCGAACACGCTGGATAGCTTCAAACATAGATTGGATGGATATATGAGCAATAGGGGCTGGTTGTAAACGGGACTGCCTAGGTCAATAACCCAGCTGCAGTTTCCTCTATTCTTATGTTCTTATTCGTATGTTTTTACTCACAACTTAACAACAATTTTACAACCCTGAGAGATAATTAAACCAGATAACCAGGAAAATGTTGGGAGATACATAGAGGAAGGTCTGACATGCTCTTCCAATTTACGAGGACGACTTTATCTTTTACCTTTTAACACATACGGACTCTGGGCAATCATTCTAATCTGGGTACGGACTCCACCCCCCCCCCTCCCTCCACATCACCTCCTCTTACTCCCCTCCTCTCACATCCCCCTCCCTACCTCCCCCTCCCTCACCTCCTCCCTCCTCACCTCACCTCCTCCAGTTAAGTTTGTCCTCTTTAAAGGACCAGAAGCCTCTACTGTCCCCCCAACCTGCCCCTTCTCTCTCTACCCCTTCTCCTTCCCTTTATTTTTCCCCTCTCCTCCCCCTCCCCCTTCCACTCTCTCTCTTTCCTTCCCTCTTCTTTTCCCGCTCTCTCGACCTATCCCTCCCCTCTCTCTCTCCCCTTTCCAATCTCTCTCTACACCTTCCTCTCTCTCACCCCTTTACCCCCCTATCTCTCACCCCTTAACCCTCCCCTTCCGTCCTCTCCCCCTTAATGGTGATGTAGGGGTGTGTTTATTTGGCTCCCCGGCTCCGGCTACCACACAGAGATGGAAGGTAGAGTACTGAGACGCCTGGGGGGGAGGAGGGAGGGATAGAGACAGAGGGGGGATAGCTAGATAGATAGATAGATAGAGAGTGTGTGAGAGAGAGGATAGATAGATAAATAAAGAGAGAGAGAGAGAGATATGGAGAAAGATATACAAAGAAAAAAGAGAAAGAAATAAATAAAAAAGATGGAGATAAAGAAAAAGTAATCAGCTTATCCCCAATAACCTAACCCACACCAACCCCCAACCCACACCACACCAACCCCCCACCACCCACCCCAACCCAACCCACCACCCACCAACCGTAACCAAAGGCAACCAAAACCTAACCTTACCTCAACATGTAGAGGATCTGGCCGTTGGGGTTAATCCTGACGAGAACATTAGGTACTGTCACAAACTGGAACTCTGCCAGCTTAGCGTTAGGGAAATACACCTCAGGCTTCCATATGGCTTTGACCAGGTTAGGATCATTCAGGTCGAGTGGGTTGGTAATGTCTGGGTGTCGTAGCCTCTCGTCCTCCCACTCCTGACGAAGGTACAGGTCCACTTGGTAATCCTGAAGGTGGGAGAAAAGTATAAGTTGTTTTTAGTTAGTTTGTTATGTTGGGTGATATGCTAGTTGACAGGTGGTAATTAGTTCAGTCAAGAGGTAATATATCAGTGAACAGGTGATAATTAGTTCAGTTAAGAGGTAATATATCAGTGAACAGGTGATAATTAGTTCAGTTAAGAGGTAATATATCAGTGAACAGGTGATAATTAGTTCAGTTAAGAGGTAATATATCAGTGAACAGGTGATAATTAGTTCAGTCAACAGGTGATAATTAGTTCAGTCAACAGGTGATAATTAGTTCAGTCAAGAGGTAATATATTAGTGAACAGGTGATAATTAGTTCAGTCAACAGGTAATATAACAATATCTTATAACAGAACTTTAATATTATGCCATCATACTCACCATACACTATATTTTTCACCATACCACAAACTCTTACACTAGAAACTATACATGTCACTATACTCACCATACACTATATACATCACCATAATATACACCAACAAACTCGACAAGTGAAATATATATGTCACCATTAAGCAAAATTAAGCTGAGGGTGTCTAATCTCCAGGTGATACAACTCCCTCCCCAGCTTATTACCAAACACTGACGTCAATATCAATTTGTTAAAGCTGGTTATTAAAGCTGATTATTTTAAGTCTTCAATAAATCCTGTAATTTATGTTCATTAAAGAATTAAGTGTTTTATTTATGTTGTTTACGTTATTATTATTATTATTATTATTATTACTGTTATTATTATTGTTGTTATTATTGTTGTTGTTATTATTGTTGTTGTTGTTATTATTGTTGTTGTTGTTATTATTGTTGTTGTTGTTATTATTATTGTTATTGTTGTTGTTGTTGTTGTTTTGTTTGTTTGTTTGTTGTTGTTGTTTTAAGTACTGTTTCCATCAAAAGTACTCCGTCATCAAAGTACTCTGGTCATCAAAGTACTCTGGTCATCAAAATACTCTGGTCATCAAAGTACTCTGGTCATCAAAAATACTCGGTCATCAAAGAACTCTGGTCATCAAAGTACTCTGGTCATCAAAGTACTCGGTCATCAAAAGTACTCGGTCATCAAGTACTCTGGTCATCAAAATACTCCGTCATCAAAGCTCTGGTCATCAAAGTACTCCGGTCATCAAAGTACTCTGGTCATCAAAGTACTCCGGTCATCAAGTACTCTGGTCATCAAAGTACTCTGGTCATCAAAAGTACTCCGGTCATCAAAGTACTCCGGTCATCAAAGTACTCCGGTCATCAAAGTACTCTGGTCATCAAAGTACTCCGGTCATCAAAGTACTCTGGTCATCAAAGTACTCTGGTCATCAAAGTACTCCGGTCATCAAAGTACTCTGGTCATCAAAGTACTATAGCTAACCCTCCTACGGGAAAACATTCTCAAAACGCTTTTAGATAATCCTTTAAAACCTGACCCAAACCTCTTCAGTAACACGGTCTTGGGAGCCTCACTAGATAAAAAAAATAATAATAAAATCATTTAATATTTTTTCCACATCTTTGATACAGGAGCAACGGCAAGAGAGAGAGAGAGAGAGGACCATAAACAGACAATTACGGGCGTTGTTCAGAGCCTCGAGACATCAAGTGTTATCCCCGTGACGGTAAACCTTCCTCCGGCCTCTCCTTCCTTTCCTTCAGCCTCCTCCCTACTTCCTTCCTTCTTATCTACATCCCCATCCTTCCCTTTCTCCACTCCTCCCTTCCTACCTCTCCCTACTCTCCCTTCCTCTCCCCCTCCCCTTCCTACCTTTCCCTCCTCCCTTCCTCACCTCTCCCTCCTCCCCTTCCTACCTCTCCCTCCCTCCCTTCCTCTCCCTTCCCTCCCCTCCTCCCTGCCTACCTCTCCCTCCCTCCCTTCCTCTCCCTTCCTACCTCTCCCTACTCTCCTTCTACCTCTCCCTCCTCCCCTTCCCTACCTCTCCCTCCCTCCCTTCCCTACCTCTCCCCTCCCTCCCTTCTACCTTCCCTCTCCCCTTCCCTACCTCCCTCCCCTCCTTCCCTACCTCCTCCTCCCCCTCCCTTCCCTACCTCTCCTCCCTCCTTCCTCTCCCTCCCTCCCTCTCCTCCTCCCTCCTTCCCCATCCCACCATCACTCGTCACAACACTATCACGGCCACTTAATCAGGCGGAAAAAATAAAATAAAATAAAAATTGCAATTTCCTGTTGAAAACGTCCGGGCGTGGGCGGTCGGGTGGAGGTGGGCGGGTGGCCGGATGGGAGTGTGGATGAACGTAGGTGAGTGGGCGGTCGGGCGTAGAAGGTGAGAAGAAGGAGACAGGTAGATAGAGTGGGTGGCAGAGCGTGAGTGGGTGGGCGGACAGGGGTGGTTGGGTAGCTGGCCGTCCATCAGAAGCTAACAACCGGTCAGAAAAAGGAGGTCAAAGCTGGCATAACTGTCGCCCTCACCCCACCCCCTCTGCGAGAGAGAGAGAGAGAGAGAGAGAGAGAGAGAGAGAGAGAGAGAGTGTGTATTTGGCCTCATAATACACTATGTAAACACAATGCTTCACACCATAAATATCTCCCTCAGCCTAAGAATGCAATAATACATACAGCTGACGCACTGAAGCAAAACACACATAAAACAGTAAAACACAAACTAGAACAGCTAAAAAAAAAAACACGAAAACCACTAAACACACAAAAAACAGTTAAAGCAAACATCCCAAACACACAAAAAACGGTTAAAACAAGTGACATCAATCCTCACACAGGGAGGCTTTGACCATAACAAACTCCGTCCTCTTGTTACTAGGCGAAAAAAAAAACACGGGACGAAACTTTGTGAATTCAGGTCATGAGACTTCCCCTTGTGTGTGTGTGTGTGTGTGTGTGTGTGTGTGTGTGTGTGTGTGTGTGTGTGTGTGTGTGTGTTGAGGGCAAAACTTTCAACACCTCGTCCTCGTGTACCTGAGTGCCACTTCAACACAGATCTTCATCATCTTCAGAGCCAGTGTCCAATCCTCCTCCCACCTCCTCCCCTCCTCCTCTTCCCCCCTCTTCCTCTTCCCCCCTTCCCTTCTTCTGCTCTCCTTCCTCTTCTCTCCTCCTTCCTCTTCTTCTCTCCCTCCTTCCTCTTCTTCTACGCCTCCTTCCTCTTCTTCTCCTCCCTTCCCTCTTCTCCACACCCCCTTTCTTCTCCCCTCCTCCTTTTCCTCTTATACTTCCTTCTTCTCCTCCACCTCCTCCTCTTCTCCCCTTTCTCGTCCTTCACATTTTTCCCTCTTCCCCTTCTTCCCTCTCCTCTTCCTTTCTTCTTTCTCACCCGCTAATACCTCCTCCCTCTTCCTATTCCTCTTCCTCTTATCTCCCTTTCTCCTCCTTCACCTCTTCCTCTTCTCCCATCCTTCCTATCTAACCTAAGGTCTCTTCCTCTCCTCCTCTTCCTCCTTCGTACATCGTCCTCCTCTTTATCCTTTCTGCATCTTCTGCCTCTTTCCTTTTCCTTCTTAATAACTCCTACTCTACCCCATCACCAGGGTCCCTCACTAGGCTGGGATTAGTCCCTTAAAAATGTTCTGGTGAATCTAGGGGCAAGTGAGGTCTCTCTCTCTCTCTCTCTCTCTCTCTCTCTCTCTCTCTCTCTCTCTCTCTCTCTCTCTCTCTCTCTCTCTCTCTCTCTTTCTCTCCTTTCTCTCTCTTTTGTGTGTGTACGTATGTATGTGCGTGGGGTGGGTGTCTCTGAGGGTCTCTATGTATGAAATTCTATGTTCCTTCGAGAGAGAGAAATGCTAAAAATACAGACATTGATAAGCATTGGATAGGTAAAAAAAATATGTGAAGATGATACAGACAGACAGACAGGAAGACACACAGACAGACAGACAGACAGGAAGACACACAGACAGACAGACAGATAGGTATACAGACAGACAGACAGACAGACAGGAAGACACACAGACAGACAGACAGATAGGTATCAGAACAGACAGACAGACAGACAGGAAGACACAGACAGATGACAGACAGACAGACAGGAAGACACAGACAGACAGACAAACACAGACTGAACAAACACAGAGAGAGTTCATCACAAAAGACTAAACTCTTCAACGTAGCTAAAACAATTATTCTTTTCTTTATAATTCCCCAAACCAAAAAACCCAAAACACTTAACAAAATACAAAAACAAAAATCATACAAACATAATTTCAATCACACAAAATCCAAAGTTATTTTCTCCTACACTCCTAAGACGAAAAACCTAGACACTTTATCAAAAAAAAAAAACAAAAAAACCTCGAAAAAAAATATTATAGAAAACTTACAAAAAATAAATTTCTACATAAATCTCACATGAAAACCCAAAATCTTATTATCAAATTAAAAATAATATATAATAATAAATCCATAATCCTAAACAAAAACCGAGACACATTTAAAAAAAAAAATCCACAAAATCAAAAATATTTATTATTAAAAAAACTAAAAATAAATAAAATAAACAAAAAACCCAAAACGTTAAACACCACAGACATCCATTCCTCTTACTGTAGAGAGAGAGATGGGGAGAGGAGAGAGGAGAGGGAGGAGGAGAGAGGAGGGAGAGAGGGAGGGGGGAAACAGGACACCTGAGACACTGGTAAGAAAAGGTTGATATTCTGCCTGGGTAAATATCCTGATTGTGTTGTCTCTCTCCTACACTGAGGAGGGATGACAGGTGAGGCAGGTGTGTGGGTAGGTGTGGGTGTGTGTGGGTAGGTGTGTGGTGGGTGGGTAGGTGTGTGTGTGTGGGTGGGTGGGTGTGTGTGTGTGGGTGTGTGGTGGTGGGGTGGGTGTGTGTGGGTGGTGGGTGTGTGTGTGTGGGTGGGTGTGTGTGTGGGTGGGTGTGTGGGTGTGGGTGGGTTGGGTGGGTGTGGGTGGGTGGTGGTGTGTGTGGGTGGGTGGGTGTGTGGGTGGGTGTGGGTGGGTTGGTGGGTGTGGGTGGGTGTGGGTGTGGGTGTGTGGGTAGGTGTGGGTGTGTGGGTGT